TGCCCGTAATACAAACTCTTTCAAACTGTTCTCTTTTTTCCTTGAAAGAAAAAATAATAGGGGCTCCTTGTCTGACTTTGGCACAGATCATGATCTCACAGTTCATGAGTTTGAGCCCCATGTTGGGCTCTGCGCTGATAGCTCAGAGCCTGGAGCCTGCTTCAGATTCTGTGTCTCCCTCTCTCTCTGCCACTCCCCAACTCGTGCTCTGTCTCTCTCATAAAAATAAATGAAATTTTTAAAAATTTTGTAAGAAAATAAATAAATAAAGCAAGAGTTATTCCAAGAGAAAAAGTTGAAAATCCTAAACAGCAGTCAACAAACACAAAGTGTGATTAAGTAAAAAGAAATGAAACACAAGTAATTGTTACTTTTCTAAATTTATAAATTCAGCATGGTCTGTGGGTGTCTATGCAGCTAAAACCTATGGCCTCAAGTTGATTTTCACACCCAGACAGATTTAAGTCAATTGATTTATCCTCACTGGTAGTTTAGCTCCCAACCTTGCACGAAATCCCAAACTTAATCCTATGTACTCTAGAAATCAAGATATAGCTGAAAGCAATAAAGGTTAGAAGACTTAGGTTCTGGTCCCAACTGCACCACTGAGTAACTGTGACTCTGGAAAATCATTTGAACCCTTCGCACTTCGTCTTCCTGATCAGTAATGTGGAGGCCATGACACTCACCCCAGCTCATGATGGTCTAGCATAAAGGAGGCTTCCTTGTCCTAAAGGCACAAAAGTTCCCCTAGCTTATCCACTGTGTTCTTTCTGGAAGATGAACCCTTAAGCCCACATTAAGCAGGGGAAGGGTCAGGCAATCCACATCTCACACACTTCTCTTGTGCTTTGGAACCGGGTCAGGTCAAGGCTTCAATATATGATTGCATCTGGTCCTCCGGACAGCTCCAAAAACAGATACCAGTGTCCTTGCTTTACACATAAGGTAACTGAGTCTGGGGGGATTGGAGCAGCTTGCCCTGGGTCCTCCCACAGCAGCAGGGAGAAGCCTGGAGCTCACACCTAAGCCCCACTTCCTCCAAAAGGCAAGCTCCTTCCTGTCAGACAGCTACTGCCATTTCTAAAAATAAAAACAAATAATCAGAATAAAGTTGGGAAGTTGGGTTTGGATTTTCGGGCTTTTGCAACCCAACTGAATGTGTCTTGATGGTCTCAGAAAGTTCTCTTGGAAGTTTTTGTTAAAATAGAAGTGGTAAAGACATATTTATTTGAGTAGAGGGATATCAGTAATTGATAAAATTCTTATGTGAAAAATGTAGACACAGAGGGTCACTGAAGAAACTCAAAGTATCTAGGAACCAAGATGGATTTCTAGGTAGTAGTTTGAATGTTCTCTGAATTGAGTAATCAAAGGGAAAATTCTCTTTAAAAAAGTACTTTACTGTGTTTGGTTTTTAATAAGATAGTAATTCAGAACAGAATTGAAGTTTTACACTTGTTAGTGGACGTTTTAAGAGAACAACAGGGCAGTGGCTAATATTAAAACAGTTTTGGATCTGTGACCAGGTGTCTCTTAAGCCACCTGCTTTCAGCCAGAGACACTGACCATCCACTACATAGTGTTATTATAGCATTTGGTTCATATCTTAACATGTCTTATGCAGGAGAGGAACCTTAGAATAGCATTTTGATGTCTAAGTTATAAATGCTTTTTTTTTTTTTTTTTTTTTTGTAAATAGAAAGCAACCAGCATTAAAGCCCTAAAGATATTAGATAAGAAAATGTCAGGGGCAGCCCGGTGGCTCAGTCAGTTAAGTGACTGACTTTGGCTCAGGTCATGATCTCACGGTCTGTGAGGTTGACCCCTGCATCGGGCTCTGTGCTGACAGCTGAGTGCCTGGAGCCTGCTTCAGATCCTGTGTCTCCCTCTCTTTCTCTGCCCCTCCCCCGCTAGCACTTCATAACTCTCTCTCAAAAATAAATAAACATTAATTGCACGGGTCCACTTATATGCAGATTTTAAAAAAAGAAAAAATGTCAGGTGATACTGCTTCTAATTGCCCTTGTTAGTAGTTCTAATAAATTCAGTTAAATCCCAGAGCTACATACATTCTTTAAAGCTACTAAGAGAAATGATTTTTGGCACCCTGAGCTCCTTCACTGTTTCTAAACACTGCCAGGATTGGGGTGGTGTTTGTTTTCTTTTTGTCATGGTGTTTACATGCCCTGGCGTGGGCCGTGAGTGAAAATGCATTTGGTGATCTTCTGGTCTCCCCGCAGTCCCTAATGGATGTTTGTCTAAATGACAACACCCAGTTTAGCGCTGTTAACGCTCCAGTGACAGCACAGGACCAGACTGGGGGTGGGGGAGTGTGCGCTACATGTGACAGTCGAGGGCGTGAATGTGAGACTGGGAATCTTCTGTGAGGTAAACACTTCCTCCTCTGGTATCCAGTTCTAGAAGCACCTTTTTGTGCTGTCTCCTACAGTGCCTTCTTTTAGGAGTCAGACCATAAATATTCATTGAGTCAGAGAATTTCAAAACTTGATTATTACCCCCAGTAACTCTAGTGCTGGACTTGCTTTTAGGAGCCCAGATTTCTCAGCCTTGACAAGGACAAGCTTACAAACTGGGTGGTGTCATCCAGGGTGAGGATGCCGGGCTGCTGTCTGAGGTCAATTTCTGTGGTATTATACATGGCATCTCTTTGTAGGGTTGACTGCGAGCTTGCTTAACACTGCAGCCACTCTTGCAGATATGTGGCTTCCATAGCGTATTTAGCAAAATGCATCCGCTCTTCTATTTTGTTCACCATTGTCCCAAGCACTGTATGTGGATGTGTTGGACGCAGTGGGGCCTTTCAGGAAACAGCAGGACCATTCTAGGCAGAGCATGACAGCTCTTTAGAGGGCCGTGCCTGCTCTAACCCAGGCCCTCAAGCAGACTGTGGTCTGAAAGGGGGAGCCATGAATTGCGCGTTGACAGCGGGCCACGGCTGTCCTAAGGCTCAGGTGGTTGTCAGCCATAAGTTTAGCTCAGCTCTTTGAGTAATTTGTCACGCCTCGCTCGGCCCCTGCTGGGCCAGCACGTGCCAGCTTAGTGTCAGAGTGCCTGTTCGCCAGACGGCCACTCAGGCCTAACGTCCTGCTGTTCCCTGGACCAGCGGCTTGCTGGGGCCGTGCACGGAGGCCGAGCCGCGCGACAGCCAAGTGCTGTGCAGAATAAGCGTGTTCATAATGAGACGTGAATGGCATTAGTGGGTCCCTCTAGAATTGGGCCTGAGAGGACGCCTCTCACTGTGGAAGTTTGGCAGCCTTTTCGTCAGGGCAAGTCACCAGGAGTTCAGCCTGCATTCGAGAAGCCGATTCAGTCTCCCAGCGCCCGAGCTGTCGTGACCGTCTACATAAAACGCTGTAAATCCATCAGAGGGGCCATTTTTGAAATATTCTACCTCATTTTGCTTTTTTAAAGTTACATAGAGCAAGGCTAAAGAGCAGTTCTGGAGCAGAGCTGCCCAGCAGCCCTTGCCATGACAAAGGACATGTTCCACGTGCATGCAATCCAGCACAGTGACCCCAGCTGCATGTGGCTGCTGGGTGCTTGAAATACAGCTAGTGGGACAGAGGAACTGAATTCCTATTTTTTAATTTTAATTAATTAAAATTTAAATTTAGATAGCCACATGCGGCTCATGGCTACCGCACTAGACAGCACAGCCCCAAGATGCCTCTGGTCTCATGGTGTAAAAATCTTCCTCTGAATATAATTAAAGGGGCCCGAAGAGGAAAGGCCTGCGTTGTGAAACCCACATGCATACTTTGACAAAAGGAAATAGAAAAATATTTTCCGATCTTAAAACACATGCTTACTGAAAGCTAATCGGAAGAGCATGATTGTCACCAACTTTTAAAGAGGCTGTTTTGGAAAGATAGTTTTAAAACATGGCGAGAAATGCTAGAATTACTTTTGCTATTCCAGAGCAGCAAATAATGAACTGATTGATGGTGATCCATGTTACTGTGTTCATGGAGAATTAACATGATTTTCAAAACGACTAAAACACATCTTTTAACTTTTGCATTGGTAACTAGGAAGGGGAAAATGAGACCTCATGCCGACTTCCCCAAGTGTTAATTCATAAAGTCATACGTGCAGTGCTTCCATCCGCTATCCAATTGTTCTGATGTTATCCTGTTATTGGAAGTGTATGATTCACCTTCCGAGGAAATAGAAGCCATACACAAAAGGGGAAGATTTGCTTTCTGCCCTGTGAAAGGCTGCCACACGCAGGGGTCCTATTAAGACAGCTGGAAAGTTGCTTCAGCGTGTTACGCTTGTAAGTTTTATTGGTGACTGGTTTTTGATTACACATTTGAATGTGTGTGTTCCAGACTGCAATTTTAATTAAAAGGCAATAGTCTTTTCTTTTTTAAATTGCATTGTGCACTCTCTGCTAGAGTCCCCCACTTACTAGTTCCTATTTTCTAATGATCGTAGCCTATCCTGGCTTGAGGCACTGGTGCCTCCTCAGAGCGTACCTTCCTGGCCTTCCCTCTTCCGTGCAGTCTTTTTTTCTTTTTCTTAAGTGTACCACCAATACTGGCTTCAAGTGTCAATTCATTTTATAGGAGACTGAGAAGAGCATTCTATCCACTCACCTAGGAAGGGAAGGTCCTGCATCGTCCCACAGCCATCTGTAGAAAGAAATGCCATCACAATCAATGCCTCTGTTTTTATTTGGTTCAACCTTAATGATCTTTTGCTGTGATTCTGTAACTGTTGATGTTTATATTTTTCATTAATACTGGTGTTGGATGTAACTGAAGTCTAAGAGAAACAGGTCTCAACATCAGAATCTTTCCGTTAATTATGACTCCTACTTAATTCCCTGGCAGGATGTTAACAGACTCATGAGGTACTTTCTTCCCCCCAACACACATAAAAGTTGCATAACCGTATTCAAACCAGAGTGAACCGTGTCATTGTAATGCATGTCATTCCACATATGCACTAGTTTCCTTAACCAACGATCACAGCTACGAAGAGCGAGCTCTGTACCTCGAAGCAATAATTCAGAACCACCGAGAAGTAATGACGTTTGAGGATTTCGCGGCCCAAGTCTTTTCCCCCTCGCCCAGCCCCTCCCTCGGCGGAACGGGTGAGTGTCTGCATTATTCTGCCCTCCCGCGCTTAGGACGCACTCGAGCAGCAGATGTACACCTGTTTTTCACAGATAAATGCTTGCAAATTTAAGAAGAGCATTCTCCCTCTGAATCAACTAATGAATATCAAAAGGAATGATGACATTCATTTTAATTTGTTTTGTATCCGAGCTGTTCACTCAGTGCTTTTCTTCAGCTATCCTGTTAACCCCTGAATCTAGCAAGGTTAATGAACTTTTTCTCAGTAATGTGCTCCGGTTCATTCAGGAGTGTAGGTTTCTTGCTGAGCTGGGAATATGTTGTTTAAAAGCGATGCCCGAATCAGTGCTTACTTATCAAAAAAGTGTTCCTCACAGTTGAAGCCGTTGCTACTAATGCTAAATGGGGATTATGCTGCCAAGATACTCGGGTCAGGGATTAATGCAGGAGAGAAGGAAGGACAGTGTCCCCTGGTCCGTCATTACTGCAGAGCAGCGTGCACGCTTTGTCCCCTGGTCCGTCCTTACTGCAGAGCGGCATGCACACTTTCTCTCTGGAGTGGTCTGTGTCACATGCACAGGCTGCCGACCAGCGCAGCACCTGGCGTGGAACCTGTTTAGAAACTGGCTTTCAGTCATTTTCATTTATTATGCCAATGGAATATTTCAGAAGTTTCCGTGAATGTCCTTGTTTTTAGGTTTTACTCTTTTTATATTTCCAATTCAAAAAAAAAGGGTACCACCACCGCTTAAACTGATTATATGATTACTGTGTTTTTTTTTCCCAAAGAATAGAATTACTTGTGAATTTCTGCATGTAATTACAGATTAATTGCCTTTCAGAGAGTAAATGGGATATTTAGTCAATGCATGTTGAAATTCTCAATGAGGGGCTTCCTTCTCCTTCCACTGGTGTAGACACAACTGTTAGCTTGCTTAATAGATTTCTAACCTGTGTCAATTGTCTCTGAACACCGCCTTACTTCTCCGATTCTGACTTGTTAACAAATACCTTACACAGAAAGTGAAAAAAAATTAAATTCAGTGAAATAAATCACTTACAAATAAAATCAGCCATGCATCATTGTTTAACATCGCTGGCTTCAATCCTTGCCTCTCAGAGCTTTGTTGGGAGATAAGAGGGGGAGGCTTGCACTTGCACAGGGAGCCAGGAGCAGCAGGCAGAAGGCCGGGGAGATAAGCAAGCTGGCCGAGGTGCGGGAGCCGAGCGATTTACATAATCACGCCTCTGCTTCCTGGTGAGGCGTCAAGAAACACAGGGATGGCCTCTATTGATCTTTGTTGAACTGGAATACTAAACAACATGAGAAAGCTTATAACTTAAAGCTTTGATTAATGTTTCTTACATTAAAAAAAAGTAGAACAGCTGTGAATTGAATTCTTTTATACAGTCTGCCAACATTCTATCTAAAACCAAAAAAAAAAAAAATCAGTTTCAAGGAAAATGAAGATTTCACACCACTCTGCCTAGAGGTGGAAAATCATTTCTAGTGTGTAGGTGAAAGAACATGAAGGATCTGTAGCAAGCTAATTTTTTAAAGAGCACATTCAGCTGTTTCTCATCCTCATGAGGGTCCTGGGACTTAGTTTTCCTGTGCAGGGTTTTGTGAGTTCTTTTTTTTAACTCCTGAGAAAGGTTTTTGTTTCTTAAAATTAGAAGAAATGGAATAATAACTAGGTATTGACATTCCTTAACTCTTACATTCTTAAGGCTCTAGATTAAGATGTTCCTGAAACAAATATTAATCAACTTTGTTTTCTATGCATACTTTAGTTTCTATATAAGTTAGTTTGATCTTTTCCAAAATTTCATAATTATTTAAATCCATCCAAATGAGCTAGTGTGTAGGTAATATCTTAAGTTAGTCTCCAGAAGTGATTTGGATTTTTCTAGACCTGCTGTTTGGAGGCAATTGCTAGCAAGCAGGCTTCTTCAAGAGCATCACATTTGCCAAAGTCACTTAGCAGATAAGGGTCTCTGACAGCTCATGAGTGGGCCCTGGAACTCATACAAAAGGAACATGAAACCAAAGATGGTTGTCAAGACAAATGCTGGGTCTTCCTCCTTTCAAATTGTTGGCATCCGTACTACATTTCATAATGTTTAGGGTTTAGGGCATTCCGTGTTGAGTGATAACATTTTTTGTACACATCTCACGCCAATCCATGAATGCAATTTTAAGTCTGGGCACCATGTTCTCTGTCACCACTTTGCATATCTGCCCACACCAAAGATGAGGAAGGAACTGGAAAGGAACTTGGCGTGAACTGAAATCTGGGGGCAGTACAGTGAGGGTGGAGCACTTCCAGACCTTAAATAGGCACGTTTTCAGAAGCACATCTTCTGCTCTTCACATGCCAGTTTTGCTTTTGAGGAATCCCTATCCCAGCCTGTTACCACTTTCACAGATGTAAACATTTTTCATTTATTCAGTGTTTACTGTTTTCTTGGGACAAGTACAGTCAAACCCAGACGAGCCAGCTAGCTTAAACTAAGAAACAGAGGTGAACTCTGCTCTTTCAAGCAGCAAGCCAACTGGAAAAATTGACCCTGAGAAGCTTAAGCCCCCACCGTGCATTTAGGACCCAATCAGACCACCTCAGGCCAGCAGTGCCATCAAAGCGGGGCCTTGGGCTCCTGCTCACATGCATATGCACAATCTGAGGAATTAGGGGCTCCCAGGTTTTCTTTGTATCCTCCCTGCAAGGGGCTTTGTTGTTAATGCAGAGGGAGAGTAACCTGAACCCTGTATTCCTTCCACACTGTGCTTGTAGCAGCTAGCAGCTCCCGTTTCTAGAGGGAAGGCCTGTGGTATCTGCCTTGGAGTCCTATGCATAAGTAAGAAGCGTGCTCAGTGGGAGTGGCTGGTGCCCAAAGACGCTGCTGTTGGAAAATGCCTTCTCTTCAGACTCCCCCTGCCCCAGTGCTGTTGCTTGTCACGCTAGGCAGCCAGAGAGGGACACACTGGCCGAGTAAATGTTTCTCTTCATGATTCACTGTCAACCACTGATGAGGATGTAGGGTCTTTAATTGTTAGATAATAGGTGGGTGCCCCGCTTTTTAAAAGGAAGTTTAAAAAAAAAAACTATTTTCCATGTCAGAAAATGCTATTTTAAAGCACCACCTACCATATACATATTCCATCCATTACTTGTACTGATAATACCCAGTGCATAGTATTTGAACTGCCTTTTTTTTTTTAACCTGTGTAGCTTATGTTCCTTTTGATTCCCTCCGTACTGACCAGCAATTTCTGAAAGGTAGCCAGTGTTAAAATATTGGCTGCAATTAACACACACAGTGTGTGTGTGTTTACATACATATATATGTTTTATGCATGTATATACACACATTTCACACACACACACATACACATATTGGGGTGAGGGACTCAACTTGTGTTTTCATGCATGTTTCTATGGAAGGGGGGGCCTACAGAGAGGACTTCAAAGGGTTAACTGGAATGGGCACCCTCGACTGCTGGGCGGGACTGATGTAATCACTGCAGCTCACAGCCAAGTGCATCTGTTCACCATGAGGTCATTCTTCTGCATGCTAATGATTTGGAAAATCAAGTCTAATGTTTGACATTATCGGAAAGGATATAAATAGTATAAATCTTTACCTTTTGGAAGCTGGTCTTATAAACAAGAAGTGGAAAGAAAAAAAAAGAAACTTTAGCTTGGATCTAAGATGTTGTTTTTTCCAAGAACTGCTTTAAAGGTTGTGTCTAGATCTTAAAACCTTGGAGGAATCCACTTGTGTCTGTTGATAAATGAATCCCCAAATCACTAGTACAGTCACAGCTAGCAATTTGGTAGTGGAAGACTACAGGTATGTCTGATTTAATATCTGATTTTAAGAATTTCTAAGTGCCTTGGTTGGAACCTGATAATGATTGAGTTTTTCAAAGAAATGTCCAAAACCTAAGTTAAATAAGTTGTTCTCAGTATACACAAATCAACAGTGTTTACTGAAGATGCCAACACTGTTTTTGGTTCCTTTCTACCTTTATATTCCTGCAGGGAGCCAGCAGAGGGAGCACAAATCTTTGTTTATTTGTGAGCCCTACATAAACACATTTGATTCCTCCAAGATATGACCAGACATACTTCCACCTTTATGACAGGTTAGGTGGTAAATGTTCCAGAATTTAGAGCAAGTGGGAGGAAACTACTCATTCAGCTCCACCAGATTCTGTCACTTTTAATATAGGTCATATTTGGAGCTTAACCCAGATTAGTCTGAGACGGTCTTAGGAGGTTGCCTCCACCATGCCTATTGCGCAAAACCGTAAGCTTTCAGCCGTCATGCTCAGGAAGTGCACATGTGCCCTCTTGGAAAGGATTATTATGCTCACCTACCTAATAAAAAAAGACTTTTGTAATTTTCTTCTACAACAAAATCAAATTAAGTTGATAGAACCTATCAGAAGACTGCCTGGTGTCACTGGTTCATTCTGGCGACCCTCATAAGACTGCAGGTATATCAGTCCCAAAGTGAAGCTGGCAAGTAGATGCTACACAGACTACTTTTGTAACTCATCAGCCTTTGCCTAGAGGAGTTCGCCGACTGGACTCCCAAACCATACACAGTGGTTACATATGCCAAGATATTGCAGGCTTGCCATTCTGCACGCAGATCCCAATGTAACCAGTTCACTGGCAGTTAGCAATTAGGTTGATCCCCAGAAACTGCACAAGGTAGACTCTAACTGTTACCCCCCAACAAAGATGACAGATTTTCCCCATTCATTGAGGGTGGTCATGTTACCAATTCAGTCTCTCTCTCTCCCTCCCTCCCTCCCTCCCCCACACCCCTCTCTCCTCTCCTTCCTCGGTTCCTCCCTCCACGTAAAAGTGTTCTTCATAAGATTTCGATTGATAACATTTCTTATGTGTTCACCTACCTAATAAATTTCCTGAAACCAGCAAAGAACATTGTAGAACATGGAACTAGAGGAAGCTTCAGGGGATATCAAGCCTAACCCTATCAC